AATTTGTCGTGTCTCAGGGATCTCTCAACTGCACGCACCCGGATCTCTTACATTTAAGGAAGATTTTCTCAATCAATGAGGAAGGATCACAAGTGGGTCAGTTCATCGTTCAGCCAGAAGATAGGAATATGAACTGACTGGATCGGATAGAATGATACAGGTCGGATCGCGTAAGGTTCGTGGCTCGCTGTTTAGGATATTGTTCCTTCATCCGTCTGAATCGATGACAAGAAACCAAGGAACCGACAGGAAAACAAGGAAGTCGACGGAACTGACTCGTGTGATCTAGCCATCGTGGTAACTCGAACACGTGATCTTGCTGTCCACAAAGCTTCAGTGCGAGACTCGCAAGTGCATAAACTGCCGCAACCGGTTAGGATAATCTACCATTGTTCAATCACGTGAATATATATATATATATATATATATATATATATATATATATATATATATTCACGTGATATATATATATATATAATCTTTATCAAAGCGTGAAAAGTCTCTCTGAAAAGTAGATGAAGGAAACTGTTGAAGATTTCGAAACTGAATATTAATTCCGAATGCATTACCATTTTAAGTCATAGGTCATTAATGCCATAAGTGGAGTGCATGTTATATCCCGGTAGGGGGTCGGTGTTCCTCCTGTGAGATCTGGTTACACCGACCTACACTTCGGTGTGCTGGATGGATTTTTCCTCTTCAGGGAACTCTCACAACCGAAATAAGCTCTAGTCTTCTAACTGGTGTCACGAAAAGTTACGTAGTGTATTGCGTGTCTGTGTTAAGGAAGAGAAGGGACAAAGTTGAGGAAGGATAATTACCCCGCGCTCCGTGCCCTGTTTGTTACAGAAGTCGTATGGTATTGATCTGAGACCCCTCGTAAAACTACCGATCTGAGTATTCGGTCGATAGAATCCTCAGAACAGTGGTTGAAATTGAAGACGTTCTGTGGAAAGTGAGGAAAACACCTCATCGTCGGGACTCGAACCCGAGAACCCCTCACTTAACGATGCTGCAGGGGCAGCGGTGATGCCTTAGAACCATCGCAGGTGGTTTGAAAATTTAGTAATGCTAGTCATCGTATAATTTGGATTCTGACGTGCCTAAACAACTAAGCGACAAATTGAAGCTGACTTGGCAAATATGCTGGCTCTCACACTTCATTACTACGAGTTACTGTCATGATAAGCTGTTAAGTTGATGACACATTGCTTTCTATCACACCTTGCAACTATACGTGCTCCCGATTACAGTTTTTGTGTAGTTTTCCGTGAGTCTACCTTGTAATGACTGTCTTTGAGCAGGGAAGTATGTTCACAATGCGGCGAGAACAGAGCTCCATGCGGTCACTTGGAACGATCTTGGCCCAACGCGCGATTTTTAACCTACTTTCCAATCCTTGAAAGTCCTCGCATACATTCGCCAGTTGCCTTCCTAAAAAAAACAAAGCACCATTATTATTCGCTGAGTCAACAAATAAAACAGAAAAGAATTTCATGCCCGTTCAAACAACAATATTTGGGTCCAGTAGTCTATTAGCGAAGGAATGTGTAATGGCTTCCGTAATATTTACTCGTTGAAAAAAAAAAGAAAGAAAAATATGCTTAATTTATGCGACAGATAATTTGGGTATTGAAACATATTTTAAAAACAAATTAGTTTCTTTAGAGTATAGTTCATAGATGCTCACTTTTATCTTGTACAAGTTGTAATATGAAATTTACTTGCGATTTATTAATTCAGGAATTAACAGACATTGTTATATGTATATCAAATACAGGACGCCCACAAAATATTGATATTCCAGAATTCAAGGATGTTGCAAATATTTGAGATCGTTTTAAAACAATTGTTTTGCTAAAAAAATTAAAATTACAATTAGTTTGTTTACGTATCTTTTCCACATTCTGTTCATGAATGTTTCAAGATTTCTTATAGGATGTTTTCATAACATGAGGGGTTAGAATGTGTCATTATTAAAGAAAAAATGAATTATCAGTGTAGATTCTCATGTGAAGTAAGACAATCTGTAGTGTTAAAACAGCATTGCAAAATATACTTAAAGAAAGTATATGAAATTACCAGTGCAGATTCTCGTGTGAAGTAAGACAATTTGTCGCGATAAAACACCATTGCAAAAATGACTTTTAAAGAAAATGTATACGAAGTCATCGTTGCAGATTCTCATGAGAAGTAAGATAATGTATCGCATTAAAACACCATTGCAAAAATTACTGTTAAAGAAAACGTATACGAAGTCATCGGTGCAGATTCTCCTGTGAAGTAAGGCAAATTTTCGCCTTGAAACATCATTGCAAAAATTACAAGAAAACGTAAACAACGTTATCAGTGCAGATTTTCAAGTGAAGTAAGACAATGTATCGCATTAAAAGACCATTGCAAAAATGACTTTCAAAGAAAACGTATAGAAACTTATCAGTGCATATTTTTGTGTGAATTAAGACAAATCGTCGCCTTGAAACACTATTGCAAAATTACAAGAAAACGTACATAAAGTTATCAGTGCAGATTCTCATGAGAAGTAAGACAATGTATCGCATTAAAACAACATTGCAAAAATTATAAGAAAACGTACACAAAGTTATCAGTAGCAGATTTTCATGTGAAGTAAGACAATGTATCGCATTAAAACACCATTGCAAAATTTCAAGAATACGTATACAAATTATCAGTGCAGATTCTCATGTGAAGTAAGACGAAATGTCGCCTTGAAACACTATTGCAAAAATTACCATTGTAGAAACCGTGAACGAGTTCGTCGGCCAAACCTCATCAATCAATCAATCAATCCGCTGTGGCGAAGTGGACCTCGCACCCGATCGTCCCGGATGCGCGGCGGCCGGCAGATTCCGCGTCCCGCGGATTTCTTTGGGCCCCGGCGGCGCGCGTGAAAGTAAGCCCGGCGGGAAAGTAGGCTATCGAGGTCTCCGCGGATCGTCTCTTTGGGCCAGTGCTGCTCCACGCCACGCCCGCAGCCCGTCTCGCGCCGCGGAGGGCGCTGGCGGCGGCGATGAAGTGGACTGGGCGGTGCGGATAACGGTGCCGCCGGCCGCCACCTGGCATGGGACCTCGCCGCCGCCGCCGCCGCCGGACGTCGTGACGTCACAGCGGTCCACGCTGTCCGTCAGGATGCGCCCGTTCGACCGCCATGGCCTCCCCAGCGTTGCCAATGCGGTGCTTTTATTATTATTATTATTATTATTATTATTATTATTATTATTATTGACGCATATGCCACTACTGACCACGCTATATGATTAACGTGTGTAATTTTTCGTGAATCAGCTTTTCAAATGTATCCCTCCGTACGATTAAGTTGTTACGCCTTAAAGTGCGCATTATGAGATGAATGGATGGTGGTGAGGGGGGAAGGGACAATCACGAATACGACCTTGTTTACGCAGGACTCGAACCTGCAGCCTCCTAGGCGCAGACAACGGCTGCCGCAACTGTCTGCGCCACGGGGTTGACTATTAAAATTGTTATTATTATTAATCGTTGAAGCTCCAAACAACTTTTAAAACCCAAGATTAGACATGCATCTCATAACCGAAATGCTGCAGAAGCCAGAGTAGGCAATCGAAAGATGAAATAGCAGGACCTCGCCAGCGTTGCCGATTCGGTGTTTTTTTTATAAATAACAGCCCAACATTCTACCATTGTGGCGCATTGTGTGTGTTGGTTTGGTGAAAGAGTATGAATGTTCCTCACTTCCCGTTACTCACAAATATGTAACAGATTATTTAATTATGGGTATACTCTGTTGGAGATTGCAAGGTGTATAACTCATGTATGTTTTTTTCTTAATGTGATCAACTGTATCTAAATAGTATAATTGTATCTGACACGTTTATGATTACTTAATGTAATTGTGCTTGCTTCTTTCTTAATTTGTATAAACATGAGGATGGAAATACATTTTCCGAAACGTTGGCAAACAAACATTTTTTATATTTCTCTTTGATCCTACTGACCAAGTCCCGAAATCATAACTTCAGATTATTAATAATCTTAGAAGCTCCAAACAACTTTAAAACCCAAAAATTAGAGACGCGTCTCATAAGCTAATGCTGCAGAAGCGAGAATGGCAATGAAAAGTAGAAATAGCAGTTCTTTGGCAAGTTATGACCCTTGAAATTCATTGGAAACAGCCAAATGGGCACACATCCAAACTTTTATGATGTACAGTACTCACTACTTTGCATACGAAAAAGCGCTAGAGGGGCCAAACTTTACTCTCCCTTATAAGAGGATGAAGCACATGTATTCGTTTGTGTCCGGCGATAAATAATATCGTATGTTGCAATCCTTGGATGCAAAATATGTGCAAGGATATCTACTCAGTAAATAGGGAGTTAACGGATCTGCATTAGTTTCGAGTTTTGGTTAGATTTTTTAGGTTATCATTAATGTTATGTTACATTGGGAGCTAAGGTAATAAAAAGAAGAGATTGTGAGTACTGAAAGATTCGGTATTTTTATTTTAAGATACTAAATGTGATTTTCCGTGAATTAAATCAAATACCAGCTTAAAAATATTAAATTTGCTCACGTTAGTACAGGTAATTTACAAATTTTCCTGCAAGATGACTTGCTTGTCATTATTCGACATCTTGCATCTTGTATCTTGTAAAAGCTCTGTACACTTGTATTAATATTCCATTGGTCAATAGTCCTCTCCTTGAACTATTTTTCGTCATCCACAACTTTGCCAACGTCCATCTTTGCCAACTACAAACTCTTACATACTGCATGAAATCTCTAGAGCCAGGAGAGTTTGACTAAATAATATATGAAAAACAAAGCAAAATTGATATACCATGCAGTTGTGAATGTCGATATTTCTGAAATGTTTTGATGTTTCTTGTTGACTTACGATGATCAGTTATTCATGAATACCTCTTCAAATACGCATATTTTTGTTTGTTTTACTATGGGTATTTTTAAAGACTATTTCATAATATTTTTTTTAATTTCAGGTAAATACGTCTTATCCAAGAAACCGGATTGAAAGGAAGAGATACTGTAAGATCTTAGTCTCAACTGTAAATCACCGAACTGCTCCCTTTGTAAGTTCAATGCAAAATCAAATTTTTAACATTATATCTTCTTCTTTTTCTTTTTATCTTACATTTTATCTTATCATTTATGTATTTTTTGGCAACGGTATATTGGAAACTGAAATAGAATAGTTATGTCAACTAATATTACATGACAAATAGAATGCACATAGTGTAGCTAACATCAAGTGTTGAAAGATGTGGTGGTTTAAATATTCCATTCATCTACACACGCGATTTCCTTTTCACATTGTGTTCACATAATTGACTTACCACTTCACACGCCTAAGAAAATCGTTGTCGGTGGCTATCGTATCGCGTGTCGGATGACTGGCAGATCGAGTTTAAATCCGCAGACGTGGTGTAGCGCCTCCGCCCGGCAGACGAAGCTGGACTCGGTGTTCCGCAGGGTCGCCCTGATGGCCCATTTTCCCGGAAGCGTATTCTGCTCGCGGCCGTTGTCCGAAGGCGCTCCCGCGAAGCGGCCGGCGCGCGGCGTCCTGAGAGACGCGCTAGGGTGCGCTCAGGAAGCGCCGCGGCGGCGGCGGCGGCGGTGGCGGTGGCGGTGGCGGAGCCCTGCGGGCCCAAATACGGGCCACCGAACGGCTGCATGGCAAGCGACTGCAGCGCTCTCGGCATCGAAGAGTCGCTGATCTCAACTAGAATATTGCTCTGAAACATTCGTATGTGTGTAACTAAAATAAAGGAAGAATAAATTTTGTAATGATTTAGTGAAATAGAGTCGACAAATCGTGAAAATTGTTGTGAGCCGTCTGTCGACCATGAAGAAAATTAAATAGAATACCAGCGCCCTATGTCAAGATAGATCGTGATTGAAAAAAAGTATCTATTTGAGACCAACGTTAAAATTTTCGTGGAGAAAGAGAGTGGGAATATAGTGGGAAAAAGAGGGAGACTGCGAACGGGAGAAGAGCAAGAACGTAAACACTACGAGAAATTGTAAATTCTACATTTTTTTACAAATTTTCTCGACGTTAGGAATTTCATTTAACATATATGGAAGAAAACGTGTATTAATTTCCAAGACCTTTCCCATACAGGGAAATGCAAGCCGAGGTGTCTTTTATATACAAACATTCTCCATCCCTCCATAATGGGCTTCTTTTTACATTTTCTTCAAAATTGTTATTCTGCCCTCAGCATGCATAAATGTGCGGTTTTGCATTTGACATACAGAGACATTAGTACATTTTCAAAATGTTCTCCAAAACGTCTTAAATTTTCTCAAATGTTTCATTTATTTCTACATGTTTAATAATAAATATATTAATTTACTAAAACATTAATCAACCCATGTCTTCTTCGATGGCACTAGAGCCCAGGTCGCGCTCGGGCTTCGCCAATAATTCGCCTCCAATTTTCTCTGCTTTCCGCAGCTCTTCTCCACATTATTATCCCCCAACTGTTCCTGTTCATCTTGGGATGAATCCACCTATCTCTTCCTAGGTCTTCCATCCAGTCGGCCCCCAAACACCCTCTCCTCCATTGCTTTCCTTGGTATTCTCAGATGCCATACATTGCACATGGCCTGCCCATTCTAGACGACGTAGTTTTGTGGGTATAATAATATTAGTGGATTTATGTAGCGAATACAGCTCCCTATTACTATGCCTCTGGCATTGTCCGTTGTCTGCTCCCTATTACTACATCTGCTGCCCCCGAAACAATCAACCCACACAACCTCCTAAACTTTTCCAGCTCGAGTGTTTTATCTTCTTTCTTTTCTACGCGCTTTTCCTCGTATTTTGGGCCAGTGTACGTCGTGTGGCGATGGCGAAGGCGGCGGAGAGAGCGCGGGCAAGTGGGGCGAGTCGTGACGGGCGCCCGCCTCCGCCGCCGCCGCCGCCACCGCCGGGCCTCGACGCTCGGCCTGCGGCCGCATTCCTTCGACGCTGTTCGCCGCCTCAGCGACCTCCGTAGCCCTGGCTTGTACGTGAACGATGCAGCCGGAAATTGTGGAGAGTCTTTGATGTTTCCGCCGCCGCGCCGCCGGTAAAAAAAAGGAACACATTGATAACTTCTTTCGTTCGTTCAAAAGTTCGTTCATGTATTGGGCCAGTGTACGTCGTGCATGTTTGGAACAGAAATATATCTCGGAAACACGTAGCTCGAGAAAAGTTTCGTGCATAGGAAAAGATATCTTGCCAAGATATGATGTTGCATCTTATGAATCAATAAACGCAGATAATTCGTAATATAAAAGTTGTTGGTTCAAAGACGAAAAAACATCTCGTGCACACACAGGTCTAGAAGAATTTCGCGCAAAGGTAAATGTCTCTTACCAAAGAAAAATTTATCATCTTATAAATCGATAAAAGAAAAGAATTCGAATATACGTTGATATTTTCATTTGTGAAACTCATCGCAACACTGCTCGTAGGAGGTATTGGTAATTTCTAAAGGTGCCTGGTATTGCCTGTGGTAGTTAAGAGAAATTGTTCCTATCAGTGCGCATTTACATTTTTATCGGAAAGCGTGAACACAATGAGTGATAACTAACCTCACTTTCGTGACAAGTACAGCCATTCCATCCGAGATAGACAAATTCACATAAGAGATGATTAGAAATAATCAGGACTGTAAAATAAAAAATTATAAAAACTACTTTACTAATAAATGAAGTCGTAAAATGTGAGATATATTATCTATAAAAATTCTTCAATTCTATCGCAAACAATTATCAAGTACATCAATTGACAAGTTGTGCATTTGGATTCGCAGTGTCAAAATTCTGAAACTACTGTCTAACAAAAATACTTTTCGTGATTTTTAATTCTTCTTTACCTCTATCTGTATTGCAAATTATTCTCAAGGTTTCACTGCAAATATAATGAGAGATGAAAAACGATCACGAATACTTCATTTATCAAAATACTCCATTATCATTAATGGCTCTTAAGTTTGAACTACGAACACGACGAGTTCCTCATTTTCTTTCTCTTCGTGCTCAAGATTTTTTAAGACTACACGAACAAGCTATTAATGTCAAAGCAACCAACTTGAATGCTTATCATAAGCAAACAAGCCGGTGTCGTTAATTTGGGTATTTCGTAGCAAACGTCGAATGCCAATAGCGAGACCTATCTGCAGAAATGTATGCGTCTGTCCCAAGACCTGTTTAAACACCGTGAAGCCATCTATTCGCATCCTGTTCGGCACTGCACGAACTCGCCAAGCAAACAGCATCTGTGGCCGCTCAAACCAAACAGACAGGGAAGCAGGCTGTGTTTATTCTTGATTGTTCTATGAAAATATCGCGTTAGTCAATGAACCTGCGGTTGGGGTAGAGAACAAATTTGTATTCATTATAATAGTTTTATGAACTCCTCAGGTAAAACATGTCTTCCAATCCTCAATCTGTATAATGTTAAGATGAATTTTTAGATTAGCATCTGTATACCATGTAAGGTAATTTTGGCAATTCCTTACAATCGATCGTTTTTTTGATTCCAATTGGTATGCAGTAACTCAACTTGATCTTCTTAGTCAAGCCCTTCCTAAAGCAGGCAGGCAAGGTGACAACACAACATAAACATATAAGCTCTTGAAGATACGCAGTCTTTATTAACTGGTAGAGAGCCACGTCGTTAAAGTGAAAGAATCACCACTCTACGCATCTTCTCCATCATCAATACCATTTCTTTATCTATCTTATATATTATATCACCACAGCACAAACTCTTGCACTGCCAGACGCAACATTTTCGTCCTACTCATCTTCGGGCCCTTCCTCTTCCTGTTTTACCTCCTTAATCACTCCCAACGCCATAAATAACAACAATGTTAACAACAACAAATGTAAATAACTTCTCAATAATTGAAACTAACCATAATAAGGAAGGTAGTTCACGGAATTTGGTCGGAGAGAGTAGAAAACAATTGAACCATTAGTTTGCCGACGTTTCGGAATATTTTAATACCATCCCCAGGGCTGGTGAAAAAGGTACAAAAACAACATCAAGATGAATATACACTACACAAATTAATAATATGATATGCAAAATGATACAATATGAACACACCTTACTAAAGTATTATGGAAATTTACAATAATTCAGCAACATTATGTCCAGATTCCAACCCTCATCATACTTTTTATACCAGCCCTGAGAATGGAATTCAAATATTCCGAAACGTCGGCAAACTAATAGTTTAATCCTATCTACTCACGCAGACCAAATCCCATGAACTTCTTTTCTAAATACATTGGTCGTGAATTCTACAATGGTTAACCATAATATGCAACTTTACAATTATTTTTCTCCCTTACACTTTCCTCGCTTCCTTCTCTTCCCGGTCGTACCGGAAAAGACATGAAGGGTGACACAGAGCGGTGTGTCTAAAAGCCCATTCACAATGCAAACATAATCATAAGCGTAGACGTAAATAGACGAACGACGTAATAGACATTACAATGTAACATAAACATTAACAAAATAAAGAGTTTCTATTGGCTGTGAGACTTTTTAGTTTACTATTGGTTGGATGTGAGAATCGTTTTCGTGATATCGACTGTGTTCATGGTACATGGCGTTAGTTCACCTATCGACTTCGATCCTATTTCGATACTCGATTGATAGTTATTGTACCGTGATTGTTTCATTTCTTAGATCTTACTTAAGCATAACCCCAGAAGCTTGAAGCTTGCAAGCGTTTAAGTTAACGTCTTACGTGTTATGCCTATGCGAACGCACTGTGAAGGAGTCCGCTTGCGGACGTAGTCCTAACTTTTATGTTAACGTAAAGCTTGTGTTGTGAACGGGTCTTAATTCAGGCGGAAACGCGCTTCGGGGGTCGGGGAAGTTTCGTAGCTGCGTGCGCAGAGAATCCTGTTCTGCAGCGGCGGAGCTCACGTGCCGAAATCCGCCCGCGCTGCGCGTGACTTTTGAGGAGAGAGCGTGAAAGGGCGCGAAAACACGCGTTGACATCGCACCATAAAGCTCC